TTGCTGCTTCAAATATTATTTACAAAATGCTCACTTTCCTGCAGGCATTTTATTAAGAACTCAAGAGTAACAGACGATGAAGACACTTTTTTACCTCCATTGTGCGAACCAGAGCCAGATACAGATCTATAAAGTAATAATATCATGCATGAAATTCTTTACTAAGAGTAAAGATGCGGTGGAAAGAGGGCACCAGAAAATGACAAATGATCACATAGTTGAACTGTATTGCTAAATTGAAAACACCAGCAATCGCACATGCTGATGAATTCACCTGGAAATAACAATGATTTCCACACCAACATTTGACTTCCAGTAGACGACTCCTACGATAACAAAATGAAGCAGGAGGTATCACTGAAATCAAAGGAAGATAGGGCATCTGAAAGCATCAAATCATGCCAACAGATCCTGGCCTGTAAGATTAAAACATCTATTTACATCGCAGGTGGGAAGTATAATGCTAATTTCTATCTTTCTGAGTGCCGATGGATCTGCTCGGGGGAACTGATGATAGCTTATGATAGTTCCAAAAGTTCCCAGTATAAAGAAATGAGAAACCTTGCAAGGGGGGGTGACAGGGGATTATAAGAAACCGAATGAAGTCTGTTTCGGAAGACCTCATTTCTAAAGCTATAGGTAGAATGCAAGAATCTTTCAGTCTCCACTGCTCACACACACATACACACAGGCACATACTTTGAAGAATGAGAAATAAAAAGAGACTGACATGAAGGAAAAGAAAGGGCTATGTCTGGAGAGAGTGGTTTATACATATATAAATATAATTGTGTATTAAATTATATAACATGTTATATATATAATATGAAATCTTATACAATTATAATATGGAATAATATATGATAACAATAATATATGTATACGCCTGCAATATAGTGAGCATTCCATAAATAACACTCGAAGGCTCTACGAAGTCAGTAATGGATAAAACTGCAGTATATTATATACAATAATTATATAACATCGCATATATACATACATTATATGTAATATATGTGTAATGTTATATAATTATGTAATTATGTACATAGATGTAACAGATATGTAATGTAATACAATATATAATTAATAATATAATTGATTGTATATAAAATATATAGTTGGTTATATGTTATATGCAATAATCATATAACACTGCATATATACATACATTATACGTAACATACATGTAACCTTATATAATTGCGTGCTTATATAGATACATATATGTAATAGATATGTAATGTTATATAATTATATAATTGATTATATAACTGTATGTAAAATATATAGTTGATTATATGTTATATACAATAATTATATGACATTGCATATATACATACATCGTAGGTAATACACATGTGATGTTCTATATTTATGCAATTATGTACATAGATATAATAGATATGTAATGTAATACAATTATATAATTAATTATATAATTGATCGTATATAAAATATGTAATTGGTTATATGTTAGATACAATAATCATACAATACTGCATATATACATACATTATATGCAATATACATGTAACCTTACATAATTGTGTGAGTATAGATACATATATGTAATAGATATGTAATGCTATATAATTATATAATTGATTATATAACTATATAAAATATATAGTTGATTATATGTTATATACAATAATTATATGACATTGCATATATACATACATCGTAGGTAATATACATGTAACGTTATCTAATTATGTATGTATGTATCTAATGTATGTATGTATATACATACATATATGTAAAAGATACGCAATGTTATATAATTATATAATTGATTGTATACAAAATATGTAGTTGGTTATATGTTCTATATAATATATATAATCGATTATACACATATTATCAAATTACACGCACATCTGATTCCAATAGATATACCTGTCAGTTTTCATTAACTTTTTAAAGAGTACCCTAGGGTCTTTTTCTCTCAGTTTTCAAATTTCTGTGTCCGTCTGTGTTTAGTAGACTTTCCCTTTGGACGCCCACCCTGCAATCAGGTTCACTGAAACGCAAGGCACGTGTAGTGGTAGGTATCCATGTGAAGGCATAATTCAGTGAATTTGGACCTATGTGTACATCTACTGCACCCAAAGATGCATACATTTCCCTCACCCCAGGTAGCTACAGGCAACACCTGACATGCCGTGTTTTCCTTCCCTCTTCCAGAACTTCACACGCATTAAACTTCACACGCTGAAATCAAACACGATGCATCTCATTCTGCTGTCTTCACTCTGCATGAGGTTTGGAACGTATATCCACGTGTCTCCGTATGCAAACAGTCACTCGTGTCATTGCCAATCAAAGTTCCTCGTGTATGTACCAATATGTACGTTTCCCACTTCCTGGGTAACGTTTCCACTTTGTGGTTGTCTTGAACACCTTGGATACGAACTGCTCTGCACTAATGTCTGTGCCGACACATATTCATTTGCAACTCTTCTCCGGTAGCCCAGAACTGCTGCATCATGGCACACGAGCATATTTAACCACAGAAAGGGTCAAGCTGTTTTCTAAGTGCCGGTGCCTTTTGCATTCTTGCCAGTAACGTATCCGATACTTAGCGGCAGCACATTCTTCCTGAACCTCGGTATTGACATCTTTTGATTTTAGGCAGTCCCGTGAATGTGAGGTACCAGCTCACTGTGGTTTTAACCTGCGTGTCTCTGATGAGTCATCGACCTGAGCACGGTTTCCTACACCATTCTTTCGTGACGGGTCCGTTCAACCATTTGCCCCATTTTAGTTGGTTTACTTCCTCTTTTACGATTTCTGCCGTATTCATTCTTCCTGTTTTTCCAAATATGCATTTTTTATCATATACACACACAGGAATACACAAACTCTCTTGTTATATATGTGACACGTATATAAGTGTTTGTAATACACATGTAGTTTCCATCTAGCACATACACGCATCATGTGTATTTATGCATTTGCTCGTGTGTGTATGGATGTATGTTTGTGCGTGTGCACACATATGTGACTTGATGTCTAATTTTCTGAGTAGTGTTTTTATACGAGTCTATGGTTCTGATTAAATTAAGCCCATCATTTTTTCCTCCTTTCCTAGGGGGTGCTTTTTGTCTATTATATTATGTAAGACATCTTTGCCCGCGTTGTGAGAACCGCCAAGGACCGTCTTGACGGCTCTCCTTCTCTGTTTCCAGAAAATCCTTAAGGCAAGGGAATGTTCTCTTTGCCTTCTTTTCTCACAATTCAGATTTCTTCATGTTTAATTGCCTTTAAATAGGACTTGTTTGATAGTCACTCTTTAGAACTACCTGATTCCACGTGTGGACAAAGACATTTTTGGCAGGTGACCTTTGATGGTGGAAAACCTACTTCTTCTCTTTCAAATGGCACGTTGTTTACAGGCACTGAAATGATGCCTCATTCAGATTCTTGTGCGATTGAGACAAAGAGAATGTTAATTGTGGTTCAAAGTTTGTTTTCATCGACTCACTCGAAGACATTTTGTTTTTAAGGGCGAACGGACGGTGCACAGAAAAGTCTGCCGTGGGAACCATTGGGCGTGACAAGTTTATCAATATTGGTTGTAAGTACAAGTATTTTACTGAGATATTAAGGTCAAAATCTTAGTCTCCGCTTCTTTCTGGAACTCTTGTCTGCCTGAATTCTAGTTCAACTAATCACTGGAAATGTGACCAGGCACACTCCCCTAAATTATCTATCCAAGCACTTTATCTTGTCGTGCACAGTTAAGTCATAGGACATTGGTGGCCCCTTCCAATTTTGAGTATTATTAAATCATTCATAAGGGCTCAGGATGTTTATTTCATAAAGTTCTTGAGTATATGAGAATGTTTCAAGATAATTTAAATGGCCTTAGGAACTACATATAATAGGTTTATCCTCGGTTTACATATGAATCTCATTTTGCTTTATGAGAATACTTTTTTAAACATCATCTTAAAACGTCTTACTGCATTCCATTCTTGGGAGATTAACCTACAATCCAAGGAAAGTGGAGTGATTTTAATCACCAGGCACATTTGTTCGTAACCTCAGCTTCTGTTAAAAGCAATGGGGATGTCGGCTAACACTTAGATTCTAAACTCTTCCTAATTACCCTAAACAACACTGCAAATTTTAAATGGCCTAATGGCTAAATATCTGATTAAATTTGTGATGTGTAAGTCTGTGGTTACACCCCTCATCTAAGGTAAGAAACAGCACAATGGCTTTGCAAAAAGTAAAATATATATGCAAACAAAGTGAATTATATGCCTGGCCTTCGACCCTATGCATATTCCTCAGTAACTTATGTTCCCGGTAGATTTTTTAAGTTATGTTCTCACTCTTCTTAGCTTTACATTATTTTTTCCTTTGCCTGAGCCATCAACGTCCTCTATCATCTTTTCTTGAATTTTCTCCCTTTTGGTAACCCCTTCTAACTGAGATTTGGACAACTTGAGAAGGGAGAATGAGCTGCACTTACTGTAACAGCTCTTTGGGAACTAGGAATTGGAACCTACCCAGCTCTGCTCTGGAGAAAGTGAGGTGTCACACTGACAAGCAGAATACCAGCAGTGGCCTTGAAACCACCCCGGAGGCTCAGAAGACAGATTTAACTTCACTGCTTCCATAACCTGCACTACCTCTATAAACCTACTTAGTGAGATTTCCTGCAAAGCCCTTCATTTAAAAAAATTTTTTAGGGGCGCCTGGGTGGCGCAGTCGGTTAAACGTCCGACTTCAGCCAGGTCACGATCTCGCGGTCCGTGAGTTCGAGCCCCGCGTCGGGCTCTGGGCTGATGGCTCAGAGCCTGGAGCCTGTTTCCGATTCTGTGTCTCCCTCTCTCTCTGCTCCTCCCCCGTTCATGCTCTGTCTCTCTCTGTCCCAAAAATAAATAAACGTTGAAAAAAAAAATTTTTTTAATATTTATTTATCTTTGAGAGAGAGAGACAGAGAGAGAGAGAGAGAGAGAGCCGAGGACAAGCAGGGGAGGGACACAGAGAGAGGGAGACATAAAATTCGAAGCAGGCTGCAGGCTCTGAGCTGTCAACACAGAGCCTGACGTGGGGCTTGAACTCATGAGCCGTGAGATCATGACCTGAGCGGAAGTTAGATGCTCAACTGACTGAGCCATCCAAGCGAAGCCCTTCTTTATAACATTATCATTAAAACATTTGGTTACTAAGAATCTGAAGAGATGGATAAACTCTTATTTAAATTGTTCCAATACAACCCAAGACTCATGGACCTAAGAGCAGGCCTGTGCAAGATTTAGGTCCATGCAACTCTGAAGTTGTTTCAGCTGCCACTTGGTCTCTGGCTGGGGCTGACTAAGGCTATTTGAATGGGAAACACAAAGTGGCAGAGTTTCAAATAAAATCCTGATGAGTGGTTCCAGTAAGGCATTGTGTACGTTGAGAGCAGAAGAGAGAACGGATATTAGGAGGTATGGTGATGACGCTAAGTTGGTCAATGCTTATTCTTTTTCTTGTATACGTGCCAGGGTGGATGGGCAGAGCCAGAGTGGAAGGTACCCCTGCAGGCGGGATCTGAACGTGTGTATCGTCACAAGTAAAACCGTATTAATAAAAATGCACATGTTCATGGCAGCCAGAAATTTGTTGGGTAGTACACCTAGATTAAAGGGGTGGACGCTAATGACTCAGAATATCGCCCAGTGTAGGATAGGCACTCAGCACACAGTCATGCAGGGTTTTAAAGGGCAACTGAATTTTGGTCTTAAAGAGAAATCATCTCCAATGCCGGGATAAGGCAAATAGAAAGAGATTTTAAACTTGTATTGATAATATGCCATATGACAACGAGTCGTGTTGTTCAAAAAACGTTGGCTCCACTGGAACACATATTTCAGAAAACACTTTAGTAAGTGAGGAAGGGGGGAAATGTTTAATTTCGGAAAAATGGGGCAATAAGGAAAAGTTCCTTACGGGCCTTGTCTGCATGTCATACGCAATGTTAACATTCGCTGCATCGTCGGAGGGACCAATGTGAGCATGGTGTTACCAATGTGCTAATTAGGCCACGGTAGAGCCAATCTCCAGTACATTCACTAAGCAAGGCTACAGTTTATATACATTTTACATATATATTTTTTGTCTCACTCACAGATATGAATCAAAATATTTTCAGTCTTTTTTCTGATACCTCAACTTCTATCACAATCAACGCGAACAGCAAAAGAAACACCACAAAAGGGTTTGTATTGCCTGGTACGTATATCTTCCTGACGATGGTCATGGCTGCGTAATATTTCCACTCTTGTCTGCCTGAATTCTAGTTCCACTAATCATTGGAAATGTGTCCAGACACACGCCCCTAAATTATCCCCTATCTCCAATATTCACTAAGGCAAGGCTACAGTTTATATACATTTTACATATATATTTTTTGTCTCACAGATACGAATGGAAATATTTTCCATATTGGGTATGACAGCCTCGGTTCTCTCATAATACGTACTGCCAACGTGGACAGAGCAGGACACACCACACAAGTGTTTGCATTGCTTGGTACGTATATCATCCTGACAATCATATTGGGCAGGTAATATTTCCACCGTCAGCATTCTCAGTGAGGAAATCAGTAGAGGTTGGAGGTACCAGATCATAAGACATTTAAGAACAATCCCCATTTGTGCAAAAAAAAAAAAAAAAATTAGTTTGATTAGAAATTATTTGCTAACAAGTCAACTCATTTCAAGCCACGGCTATGTTCGGGTTGACCCCAATTCCTTCATTTTATGACAATTTTTCAAATAGACTCTTCAGCCTCAGAGCAGAAACTTAAAAACAACAAAAAGCCTTCATCCTGTTTAATCCTTTCAATGCACTACTGTGAACATCAACGATTTCCACCCCCAGGGGCTTGAGAGGGGTGCTTCAGCTCTGAGATACTAGGTTTCAAGTTGGAAAAAGGCATTTGAAAACTCTGGTTTTCATAAAAAAGGAAGCTGTCTCCCATTACTGTGTGACAGGGCTATGGTTGGGAAGGTGAGAACCGCACTTGCATTTTCTTTGGTCCCAGACCATGGGTGCATGTCAGAGCCAGAGTCTGAGGTGTAGGCAGAGATGAGGTAGGCTGGATATACTTGATGGATTAGGTCCCCAATTCATGGATTTCCTGCTGTTTTCCTGGAGTCCCGCTGCTCATGTTGGGCACTGCATGGGTTACACAGGGACAGCAGTGAACGGCTCCTACCCACTTAGGTCAGGCAGCTGACACTGGGAAAAAGTCAGTGGCAACTGTTGGAGACTGAGTTAAAGACTTGATTTCCCCATGCATTCTCCTCATCCTGCATTCAGAAATTCTTAGGGGTTCTAATGGGCAATTTCTGCTTTATGCACGGTGATTTTCAGGCAAAAGACTTCACCCTGATGACAACGACTTTGCAAAGTTCAGGGAGTTAATGAGACGAAACAATATTCCTGAAGAAAATCTTATAGATATGAGCAAAACTGGTAATGTGACTATCTCTCTCTCTCTCTCTCTCTCTCTCTCTCTCTATATATATATATATATATATTTTTTTTTTTTTTCCTGAACATATCTCTCACCTCATCTGAAAATATGCTATTGGAAAAAAAAAAACTGATTCATTTACATTTTCTCTTCCATGAATTATCTTTCATAAAATCCATTATTTAAAAGAAGAAATCCTTACAAATATTGGGAAATGGCCATGATGGGTTGCTCCTTTATTCATGTTTTGTATTTGTCTTTCCTCAGAGAAGTGTCCTAAAAATGAGAGGGGCACCAACCCGTCCTGAACACTGTAAGTAAGAATGACGTGTTACCAGTGCCACTATGTCAACTCGGTAATTATGTCACTAGAGAGCTTTTTTATGTTACATGAGGTTATTTTTTTTACCCCGAGACTGCAAACCAGTTGAGGTGAATGTAATGCTAAAAAGCAGTTTGGGGGATAAAGCCTTATTTCACAAGAATCACGCCAGTGACAGCCATTCAGAGAGAAGCAGGAAAGCCAGATGCTGGTGGGGATGACAGGAAAAATAATGAGTTTTCCAGTCAGTTCTGACTTGAGGGTTGTCCGAATGCGTCACCACTCCATGTGCACTATTCCCGCTCATCCCGTGTTTAGTTCTGCATAATTGCAACAGCCACCTCAGAGGCCCTCCTACCATGCCAATGACACAAGCGTTCAATGTGTATTTTCCGGCAGAACGTGATTTCCTTAAAGTGTGATTGTTAAACCTTTAAAGTAATACGAGCCTCAAATTACGACTGTGCTCTAGGCTAACACATGCCATTTGTCACTGCTGTTGGGAGAAAGGGGCAAAAGAAAGGTCAAACAGAAATATTAGCTTTCATGCTGAATATAATGTCCTGAGGCCAGAGAGCTTTTGCAATCAGAAGACCAGAGTGTAACTCCATCAAAGATCCTGTAAAATCATGTTTGATGTGCCATCCCCATGAACATTCATTCTGAAATCATCAAAGTGTTGGAAGGGATCCTGATTATGAAAAGTCCCATCACACACACATCCCTGAAAACATTCCAGTGGGTCCCCCCCATATCGTGGGGATGGAGAATATGATGTTCCCTGTGGGACTGGTGCACTGGGTCAACTAAACGTCCCCTGAACCCTTGATGTTGTACTTCCTGAGGCTCATACAGTCCACTCAACTCAACCTCCTCTCCTGTTTTATGCACCTGTAGCTGCATCACTGAGAACCAGGAACACGGTCTTCCCCATGCAATCAGGATCAACAGCATGAAGAGTATGTTCCTTCTTTCTGCTTCACATCATTTTCTCTATTCATACACATGTTTGCCTTTCCCATCTCGTCTCTGTCCGTCACCGTTCAGGTCCTGTTTGGTGTTACAGGATTTCTCTGTCCATCACCATTCAGGTCCTGTTTGGTGTCACAGGATTTCTGAATGATTAAATAAATTGATTACACGTGTACCCTGTACCTGTGTGTCTGTGCACATATGCATGTATCCTAAACCTGTGTGTTTAATTTGAAAAACACATAAATATCCACTTTACATACAACTACCCAGGAAAGCATGGCTATCATAGGATCAACATCCCATCAGAGACCATTCAGATTAGGCTTAAATAGAAAAGCCACAGAGGTGTTTAAATGAGAGGGAGAAAAAGGTCTAAACCATCAGCGGAAGGGACGATGGGTATTTTTACTACAATGGTCAAGAAAAAACGTCCCAAGGAACCATCTTATCTACCACAAGGAAAGAATTGTGCACACCTCACTGAGATTTATACACAGACAGTCTACAATGCCTTGAGTCATAATTGAGGGGAACTGCCTACCATCACAGCACCATCACCCATGAAACTGAGGAGAAGGACTGGTATTTCCTTACAGTAGGATCACAGTCATTACAGACGGGGCATCACAGTCATCCAAGATGGGGCAGCGGCTGAGACACGGTCAACCCAGAGGGTCATGGTGTCAGTGTAGCGCTTGGACAAACCATCAGATGGTGAGCTCAGTCGGGAAGCTGTTAACACAGTATGCAAGATCTAGAGCGTGCCATTCCATTAAGTTTCAAACAGCAGTAGACACGGGAACTTCTAGGGAATGGCCATTCCCATTGTAACAGGCAGAGCACATGTATCAGCTAGCCATGATACACAGGTGTTCACCGTCTAAGAGATCAGCACTCAGGATGCACCACTTACTCCAATGGCTGTGCCAACGTTCAGAGATCCAGTCCACACCTCAGGAAAATAAAATGAGCTTTAAACAGTATTTAATAGAATAAATACAGTACATTCGGGCTTGAAGAGATATGTGTAATACCAAATACTTAGTGTGAATTAAGAATGGGCATGGAGAGGCTCGCCCATGGAGACATTCACTGATGGAGATGCTCCCTAGTGGAGGAGCTGCCTTGTAGAGATGCTTACTCATGGAGACATTCATCCGTGGAGATGTTCACCCATGGAGATGTTCACCCATGGAGAAGCTCGCCCATGGAAAGGCTCGCCCTTCGAGACATTCACTCCTGGAGAGGCTCAGCCATGGAGAGGCTCAGCCATGGAGAGGCTTAGCCATGGAGAATTCACTCCTGGGGACGATCCCTAGTAGAGGTGGTCACTCATGGACAAGCTTATTCTCTGCCTCCACCCTTAGCAGGTCCTCCCCCCTCCTCTTTTCCTCTTCTTATGTTGAACACTATGTAGCAAGTGGTTCCTTAGCTTTTTCTTCTAATTACATGGAAGACTGACGATTTGATCCTTGGTCAATTTTCCCTGCATTGTTAACTCCAGAAATGTTGAGATTTTACAATATTAATGGCTGAACTGGGTCCACACAAATTCTGTGTGGAAGCCCTCGCTGCCAGGACCTCAGAACAGGACTCTATTTGGAGATGGGGGTCTTTACAGATGGGGGTCTTTTCAATGTAAGTGATTAACTTACAACAAGGTCACTAAGCCAACAGGACTGTTATCCTTATAAGAGGAGATGAGAATCACTACCTTGTACACTTGAAACTAATATAACACTGTACGTTAACTACACTGGAATTAAAGTTTAAAATTATTTAAAAAGAGAACAGGACAGAAGGACATAAACATGCACAGAGGGATGACCATGTGAGGACACGGGGAGAAAATGGTGTCCACATGCCAAGGAGAGAGGCCTGAGGAGGAACGAGCCTTGGCCACGCCTGGATCTCAGACTCCCAGCCTGCTGGACTGTGAGAAAATACATTTCCATTGTTTGAGCCCCTCCGTCTACGGTCCTTTGTAATATGATCAGGTTCTAATTTCCAATGTGATTTGATTATCGAGGTTTGATAGACACTGATCTGCCGCTGACAGAGAAATCAGTAATTGAATATAGTGAAAAATCATATATTTCCAGTAATTGAATATACTGAAAATGCATACAGGAAACAGAGAACCGCCACATGCTCCAGCCACGTACACAAAACCTGTGAGGAGTGCATCCTCCTCTACCCCATGCTTCCACAGTGTCTGCTTAGGGAATTTACGTCAAACATAGAGTTGACTAAAACTTTCCTTTGATTGAAAATAAATTCAGCACAGGCAGTTACCAGTAGATGAGCTAAAAGGTGCTACATGTGTGCCTGTGTCTGTGTCGTGTGTGTGCCGATCCAGGAGATACCTGGAACTGGGGGGTCAATTTCTTCCTACAGCCAAACATCCAGGAAGCATGGACGTGGCCAAGTGCCAAACCACACAAATTGGGACATTGCGACTTCTGGTGTTCATTTATTTGACATGTACGATGTTGGACTATAGGAATGCTCAATTACTGCTTCGAAGATTATTTATTTATTCCTTTTTTTAAAGTGTTTATTTTTGAGAGAGAGCGAGCAAGCAGGGGAGGGGCAGAGAGAGGAGGAGACACAGAATCCGAAGCAGGCTCCAGGCTCTGAGCTGCCAGCACACACCCTGATGCAGGGCTTGAACCCACGAACTGTGAGATCATGGCCTAAGCTGAAATCAAGTGTCGCTCGCTTCACCGACTGAGCCACCCAGGTGCCCCTGTTCAATTATTTTTACTTATTTAAATCCCTGAAGAGTAGATTTCAGTAACTGTGTCTCCAAATATTGGTAGCGGAGAAACGTTAATATTAATGAAAAAAAATCAGATACTCTAGGTTATCAAAAATACAATACGGAAATACATCCTGTATTTTATAGCCTTTGAAACCTTCCAAATGGGTGAATATCCTCTTTTTTTTTTAATGTCATGCCCCAAGTCTATACATATGTCATATCAAAATTCTTAGCTTCCCAAAAAGGTTAAGAAAATGACTTTTGAAAAAGAATGCCTAAGGAGATGCAGAAATGACTTTCTTTGCCCTACAGAATGACAACTGGAATAACAAAGTCATAAAGTTTCCATCTTATTCTTGTTTTAATAACTTGAAAGTCTTATTTAGAAAAGATGTGATGGAATCAAGACACAGTATTCTTTTAGCATATTGTCTTTTTTGCACTTGACTGCCCCTTCTACACGTCATGACAAAATAACATGTCCCTAAATTTATTGTAAAGGCTTCCACTCTATCATAAGCCAAACATACGGAAATAACAATGGGAGTAAAAACAACAAGTTGGCCAACTAAAGCTGACTTCTACTCTGTGTCCATATATTTAACAATCTCTCCCTATTCACGTAGCTGAATAAAAGAATAATATTTACATTTGCCACAGTAATATTCTCTAGGAATGCAACTTTCAGTAGGTTATGTGTGACCCACCCTCATTCTATTAGAGTCCCATGCTAATCCAAGGAGGGTTTTCAGTTTGGTCAACGAATAAACCTAGAAATGTACTAGGAATTAAAATGTATGGACGCCACCCCAGACCTTTTGATTCAGGTGATTTTGCAGGAACCTGTGTTTCAACTAACTTTCTGTAACATTCTTACCTAAAGTCTGAGAAACCACTGTCCTAGTGCGTTATATTAAAGCAGCGAGGGTATATACAAACAAATAAATAAAATACTGCAAACAAGAGAAGGAGAATATTAAACAGACTTGGCAAGGCTGTGCCCAGAAGGATGCATCAAATCTGAGGGCAAATTTGTTGGGTAAGCATTAACTAGGGGAACGACGGACAGCATCCTAAGAAATGCACAAGAGTGAAGGCCGAGCATTTGGAATTATAGGTTATTTGTTTAGCCACATTGCTGTCCTACAGAATACCACGTACTTTTGCCTCAAGTGCATTTGCTAATAAGTTCATTCAGAATGCTCACTCTTCACTTAATGTTCTTATTTATTTTTGAGACAGAGAGAGACAGAGCCTACACAGGGGAGGGGCAGAGAGGGAGGGAGACACAGAAACCCAAGCAGGCTCCAGGCTCCGAGCCATCAGCACAGAGCCCCATGCAGGACTCGAACTCACGAACCGTGAGATCACGACCTGAGCCGAAGTCGGAGGCTCAACCGACTAAGCCACCCGGGCACCCCACTCACTCTTCACTTAAAACAATAATAGGGGTTGCATAATGCACAGGACGTGACTCTGGTTGGGAGGAGGTTGGATGAGTATCTTTCAAAAGTTCAGAGAGAAAATTAGGGGGAGGTAGCTCAGTCTGTCTACCTGCCTTATTTCAGGATAAAAACGAAATCTTGAGAGAAATCACCCACTCGAAACAACGGAAGATTAAACATAGAACTGTTTATAAATTCAGGACGTGCGCCCAAGGTTAAACCATGTGCGCGCACAGACACACTCCTAAAACCCCATGCACTGATGAAGCCTTAATTTGTGCAGGAAGATGGTACTACATGTTGGATTCGGGAGCTGGCAATAATGAATGAGTAGGAAGTTTGGAATATACAGCAGGAACCTTTTTTTTGAAAAATGTAAAACAGGTCATTAACATCCCTACTGAATAACAGCAATGTACACATGTAGAATGATATTTGAATTCAAACGTCAACAGACTTGCAACTAGAAGAAACTTTTCTAAATTTCTCATGGAGAAAATATGTATATAAGCTTATTTGAAATACTAGGAGTGATAATCTTGCTAACTATAGTTATCAGTTCTTGCTTATTTAGTTCTTGTCAATCAGTTGTAATACCTCTCAAGGACTGTGCCCTGTCCTTGGAGTAACGGCCATACATTACCTATCTATGTGCCTTAGTATATGAATCCAGAGCTTTATGGATGTACCATTAAAAGCCATGAGGCTGATCTTCCAGAATGGATGAGGTCATCATCAGCAATTGTGTCGTAGGTAAGCATGCACTCAGTTATAGAGAACATTGCAACCTGACACGTGGATAAATTAGTCTTGTAAGAAATTTATGCGTCTTCTACACAGAGACTTCCATATTTGAGATGGGAATTTAAGATTTAGTTTTATAAAGGATAATTTTATTTAAAAAATCGATGGATGATTTGACTCTAGGGCAAGTTATGGAAATAAAGAGTCTTGACATCTACTTCATTGT